GGACGCTGTTTGCATTCCAAGCGAATATTTTCGTGAGAATCAGGTTTTGGGGGGTAAGCAACTCAAACGGCAATTTGGGGATCTATTCCATTTCATTTCCTTTAAGGAGCGGGTAGCAAGCCCCCGAATGCAGTCGCACCACTGAGGAAGGCCATACAAAATTACATGAACAAAAAAAAAATCGAATTTTTTTTGGGTCCCTTGAAACAAGTTTGAGCCCCCCCCCCACGTTGGTTCGAAATCCGTCCTTTAGCAACTACAGCCAGAAGTCTTAAGGCACCAAGGCCTTCTGAATTTGTTTTCCAGTTTGGGGGAAATGAGGAGAGCCGACAGAACAGACTATAATGGGGGGGGGTTGGTGAAGGATGGGGATTGTGTGAGAGATGCATTGACCCGGCCATGGATATTTGAAAAGGGGGGTCCCCAAAACGGGGCAATGTTCACGATACAGATGTGCATGCATATGTATACATTCATGCAAAATCAGCCTTGCATCAAACTAGCGTATTTACTGTAGATGGGTTTTTTTTTTATTGTAAACGATTTTTAAAACAAACTAGCCCACCCCGAGCAAAGATAGTTGACAAATGGGAAGAGCCATCAATGTATAGGGCTGGATAGCTCAGTTGGTAGAACACCGGTACAGTATTCCGGAGGTCGTAAGTTCAAATCCCACTCCAGTCAATTTCTTTGTTCATCTTTGTAATACTGTATATTGAATACATTTTGGTTGTTGGGAAATCTGATAAAAAACTTTAATTCCCACCGGGACTTGCATACAGGATTGTGATGGGCCAATTACTGTTGACTGTTTATGTTGACCACTTTACTAATGCTATACCAGCCTACTAAATAACCAAGGCTTTCGTAGAAAAATATCAATGTAATGTGAAAGTAATAAAATTGTGTGATGTGGGTGCCAGTGCTAATACGTGTGGCGTTGAAATGGGCATTTTCCCTCGAACTTCAAGGCTACAAAATTGGATAAGCCTAAAGAATGGATCTTCTCCAACAGGAAACGGGGTAAAGAAAGAAAAGAAACAACACGCAAAAACAAAATCTAACAAACTAAAAAGAGAAAGTATCCCCTGAAGACCAAACTACTGACATCCATAACACTTCAAACCTTTTCCTACTAACTGCTTGTTCGCTAGCTCGACCAGACTGTTTTCTCCGTTCTTTTGTGCCCACGACCCCACACAATGACTCAAAAGTTGTTACGTAATTCAGCCATACTTATTATACTATATTACCAGCACACTTCTAATAGTGGCATTTATAGTTTGTTTTCGTATTATCATTTATAAGACTTCCATGAAAATGCATCAAATAAAGGAAATGGTGCGGGTTCACGATAAACAACAACTAGCCGTACAAGATCAGGAACCTGGTATAAATTAAATCATATTGTATACATTACAAAAGTTGAATTCTATTTTTTAAACAGAAAACCCGGAACAAAATGTAACAGTGGTTGGTTCAATCGGATCGGGTGCACCCCGCATCATGCAACTAACCAAAACAATTCTGCAGCTCCAGGGCAAAATTGAGCAAACCGAAACCGACTTAAGGTCGGATCGGTTTTCCAGCATTCCAATCGGATCGGGTCAGTTTTGGGTTTGCGATTATTGGATCGGTTCGGTTAAGCTATTTGCAGTGGCGTAAGTTTGTGCCGAAAATTGGGGGGGGGATGGGGGAAAGGTGGTGGGTGACTTGTCCGACCACGAAAACTTGAAAAGCGGGGGGGGGGAACACCATATGACCCTTTATAGACGTCAACGTTCGTGATATTGATGTACATTTACATCTGTAATATGTATTTAAAACGGTGTATTTACGGCTTTTTAGAATTGCTTTTCCTTTTTTTGAGTGATATTGAATGCCTTTTAATCGTTGGAAGTCTGAAACATTCTTTAGAATCCGCTTCAATTTTTGGGCTCACTGCAAAACGTGTGTGGGTGTGTGTGGCAGTGTTGTACGACTCGAAGTCTCGGACTCGAGTCACGTTTTTCATTGCTCTAACTCTCACACTGGATAATAACCACGATAACTCGGACTCGAGCTTGGTGACTCGCGACTCGGGTCATGTATTTTCATTAAACATATTAACTGTATATATACGCCGTCAAAAATTAATATGTATGCATCCGTGCTATCACTGGTTTGCATGCAGGAAGCGTCGCGATGCACATTTTTCACCCATTTATGTACAGCTAAATATCCACTGATGAGTCAACGAGACGCGCACAGTCCACAAACTGTGCGGCGGTAATCAGACTGGAAGCATAGTCTGCTTACCGCTGCACAGTTTACAAGCAAGTACGGATGTACATAATCATTCAACCTCAAAGTCTCCAGAACCATGTCGCGAAAATAAACACTTTTAGCGAACAGAAGTGTCAAAACAAAACAAATAGCACACAATGAACTGACTACTTTGATCAAGGGTGTTCCTCCATGGTTTGATACACTTAGAATAATTGGCTGAACATGTTGGTTCATGACTTGTGACTCGGACTCGAGGCTTGAGATTCGCAACTTGGACTCGAGGCTTGAGACTCGGGACTGGGACTCAACATTGGTGATTTGACTACAACACTGGTGTATTAGTGTGTGGGGGGGTGTGATTCAATAGCCCCCTTCCGCACCTAATGGTGGAATATACCCCCATCCCCCAGGAGTTACGCCCATGGCTATCTGAATAAAAACTCAAAATACACCGAAAAAGCATAGCAGTTCCAATATGGGGCATTATTAATGCAAAATTACAATGCTCGGTATTAATAAGAGGTGTGATATTTAAGTTCTTCCTTGGCGTCTTAATTTGCACACTCGATTCGGGACTGTAGCAAAAGATTTTGCACGATGTTTTTGTTTCCAAAAGAAATCACGTAACACGGATAAATATAGGCTCACTGAAAGCAGACAAATCACACAGGAAAGTGTTCTCTTGTCGCAGCCACATCATCCTTTTTTCGGGTCGGTTCAGTTTCGGTCAGTTCGGGTCGGTTTTAATTTCTGTTGGGCACGACTGGATCGGGTCGGATTTGGAGAATTATTTCATACCGGTTTGGGTCGCGATTCTGTTTACAACGTGTACTCTACCGATACACAACATTACATGGTAATTGTGACGCAAACTTGATACACTTCACTTAAGCCTAATAAAGCAATTCTACCGTGGTGGCTTTGGACATACATGTACTACCGAAACGATTCGTAGGTCTATCCAGTCAAAATGATGTCCCCAACTCGTGGCGTCCGACTGAATAATGGAAATTGAACTCTCTTGTTATAGGCTTAGGAATGAAACTTACTAATCATAAAGACAAAATCCAACCTGAATTCATTTGGTCTACCAATACTAATA